AATTACTTTAATTCCTGTTTAAATGCAATTCATCCTGCCATACCTGCAGTGTCTTCAGACTTTGCCAGCAAATTAAAAGTTGAAGCTCAATCATTAAATTATTATCTTTGTGTTAGATTTATTTATAAATCACATTTAAACACTGCTTGTACCAATTAAATTAAATAAAAAGTAACACGTTCTCTATCACCGTCATTAATCTGCAAACAAACAAACAAACAGCTTCATCTTCAGACAGACTGCCGTTACGTTTTTTCACTTTGGAAACAGAACAATGTGTTAAATTGTAGAGACTCACCTGCAACATACGAGTTGTATCTTCTGCTGCTCCTTCATCATCCTCATGACTCCAACATGTTTACATTTCATCAGCGTGTGTAAAAAAGTTAAATCTGGTCCTCTGGACATTCAAAAAAACAAAACAAAAAAATTGTAGAAACATTTCGTCTTTCATCCGAAAGACTTCCTCAGTCTGCAGTGTTTCCCTTAGTTAGCTTGCCATGGCGGGGTGCTCATCTCATCCATGATTTTTGCTGATGGGGGGACGGAGACATGTCTGAGCGCAGCTTGTACTAACAGTTTTTGAGCGATGGTGGGGGGCGTTCATCGTGAGGGAAGAGGCAATGTGAGTGCTACCTTGGGCTTTTTAGCTAGAGAACCTGTATTTTGTGCCGTTACCTTAGTGATATGTCAGTGCCAGGTGGGGGTGGGAGGGGCAAGTTCAGTTTGGTAGGCGGGGTGCTCAGTTTTGTTGGCGGGGTGAGGCACCCCGCCTGTATAGTGGTAGGGGAAACACTGGTCTGAGGTGCTGTATTCAGCTCAGTCTTATAAATAGCGTTTCTACAATTTTTTTGTTTTGTTTTTTTGAATGTCCAGAGGACCAGATTTAACTTTTTTAGATTTTTCTACCTGGATTATTGAGCATGCATCAGGATATTCATCAGCATGGTTCTCTCATGTCGTGTCATCACTTTTCAAAGCTGCATGTTTCTCAGTTTTTATCTTTGTGAAGAGCTCCCACACTTTGGAGGACTTGAGTCGAACAGTTTCCTCTGCGTCGTTCATTTGTAAAATTTATTTAATTTCCTTTGAAAACAGCCTCTGCTCTGCGTCCGCCTTCACCCTCGCTCTGTTCAACTCGTGCTGCAGAGTTGTTGTTTTTTTTAACTTTATTCAGTCAGTCAGCATTGACAATGGTGAACAAAGCGGCTCCCCAGCACCGTGAAAGACGCTTAATTGCGTGGCACAACAAATCGATAATGAAATTCGTTGCCAACACTTTGAATCATCAATTTTTATTGATTTTATCGATTCGTTGTTGCAGCCCTAGTGACGTCATTAAGCCAAGGTTCTGATCTGAGTTTCGTTTTTCTGGTTTTTAAAGGAGCAACATGATCCAGAGCCTTTAAGCATACAGAGTTGAACTGGGAGGTTAGCTCATCAGTGGTGGTAGGAAACAATGGGGGCTGATTGATCATTTCAGAGTTAAAGACATCTGTGAAACTTGTGGCAGTGAAGCGGTTAATGGCCCGGCTGTGACTTGCAGCAGCGCCCGTTTTAGGAGTTAGACTGGGGGAGGTGAACTCTAACAGGACTGCCATGTGGTCTGAAAACACATTATCACCAATTTCAGAACTACTAACAGTCACATTGTGTTAAAACAAGGTCCAGTGTGTGCCCGCGCTCCTGGGTGGGACCGTCCACCCGCTGAGCCAGATCAAATGAGTCCAATAAATCTAACCAAGGGCTTCTCCCGACAACAAACATGAATATTAAAGTCATAATGATCAAAACACGATCATATTTCGGTGTGATTACAGCCATCCATCCATCCATCCATTTTCTTCCGCTTATCCGGGGTCGGGTCGCGGGGGTAGCAGCCTAAGTAGGGAGGCCCAGACTTCCCTCTCCCCAGCCACTTGGGCCAGCTCTTCCGGGGGAATCCCAAGGCGTTCCCAGGCCAGCCGAGAAACGTAGTCCCTCCAGCGTGTCCTGGGTCTTCCCCTGGGCCTCCTTCCGGTGGGACGTGTCCGGAACACCTCACCAGGGAGGCGTCCAGAAGGCATCCTAAACAGATGCCCAAGCCACCTCAACTGGCTCCTCTCGATGTGGAGAAGCAGCGGCTCTACTCCGAGTCCCTCCCGGATGATCGAGCTTCTCACCCTGTCTCTAAGGGAGAGCCCAGACACCCTGCAGAGAAAACTCATTTCGGCCGCTTGTATCCCAGATCTCATTCTTTCGGTCACAACCCAAAGCTCGTGACCATAGATGAGGGTGGGAACGTAGATCGATCGGTAAATTGAGAGCTTCGCCTTTTGACTCAGCTCTCTCTTCACCACGACAGACCTGTACAGCGCCCGCTTCACTGCAGACGCTGCACCTATCCGCCTATCAATCTCACACTCCATTTTTCCCTCATTCGTGAACAAGACCCCAAGATACTTGAACTCCTCCACTTGGGGTAGGACCTCCTCCCTGACCCAGAGAGGGCACTCTACCCTTTTCCGGCTCAAGACCATGGCCTCGGATTTGGAGGAACTGATCTTCATCCCGGCCGCATCGCATTCGGCTGCGAACCGCTCCAGCGAAAGCTGTAGATCACGATCTGATGAAGCCAATAAGACCACATCATCTGCAAAAAGCAGAGACTCAATTCTGAGGCCACCAAAACGGATCCCCTCAACACCTTGGCTGCGCCTAGAAATTCTGTCCATAAAAGTTATGAACAGAATCGGTGACAAAGGGCAACCTTGGCGGAGTCCAACTCTCACCGGGAACAAGCCCGACTTACTGCCGGCAATGCGGACCAGGCTCTGACACCGGTCATACAGGGACCTAACAGCCCGTATCAAAGGGCCTGGTACCCCATACTCCCAGAGTACCCCCCACAGGGCCCCCCACAGGGCCCCCCACAGGGCCCCCCGAGGGACGCGGTCGAACGCCTTCTCCAAGTCCACAAAGCACATATAGACTGGTTGGGCAAACTCCCACGCACCCTCCAAGACCCTGCTGAGAGTGTAGAGCTGGTCCAGTGTTCCACGGCCAGGACGAAAACCGCACTGCTCCTCCTGAATCCGAGGTTCGACTATCCGACGGACCCTCCTCTCCAGAACCCCCTAATAGACCTTACCAGGGAGGCTTAAGATGATTACAGCCAGGATGTCAGAATTCATTTATGAAATCCTTATCAGACCTGAAATCTTTATCTTATTATCAGACATTTTCTTGTTTTTTTTTAGACTGGTGTAAATACAGGAGTTCATAGTGTGACAATTAGCCCCTATAATCGCACCATGAGAAAAGTTAAAAAAGATGTGATTTCCCAGAATCCAGAAACAATGAAGATTGCAGGGAGAGGTAGGTCCAGATTTGTTAACAAGGTTCAATGACCCCAGCTAGTCACAAATTTGAAAATGATGGGGATTTTGGGACTGATGCAGAAAAGTCTCAGACCAGACAGCTTCATAGATTAAATGGGCCAACAGGTCTAACATTGTGGTCCAACTGGAGTTTGAATTGGACAGAGGGGAGCACCCGTGTGAAGATGAAACTCTCAAGCTGCTCTCATGATGAACAGACGCTGGGTCCAGTACCAACAGGTAGAGGCTGATAATCCACGGCAAATAGCAAGGCATGGTCCTAACTTAGTTCAGATCAACAGAGGACAACAGCGTGATCCAGAAACAAAAACCTTCAGCTGACCCGTTCTGAACCGGTGGACCCGAACGGATCTGAATTATTATCCAGGTGAGTTTGGATGGAAGCCAGCAGAAACTCCGATGCAGACTCCGGTCTTCTCTCGAGCAGCTTCCTCGGCTCTGCTCCACAGCACTGCTCCTCCACGCTTCACTCCGCACCTCTGTGCTTTACTCTTTTCCTCTGCTCCTCCGCACCCCACAGCACGAATGGCCACCCTGGTGAACAACATCGAGACTGATCGGAGAGACTGAAGACGTCCCTGGCCCGGTTCTGCTCCAGTCCGGCTCTAGCTCTTCACAGCACGAGAGGCTACCTCTGGCGAACAACAACGAGAACTGACCAGGGAGGCTGAAGTCGTCTTTGGCCCAGTTCTGTTTTGGTCCGGTTCCGGCGCTTCAAAGCATGAGAGCGTTTCCTCCAGGCGAATACAGCAATTCCCACGGAGGTGGACAGTCCTTTGTTTGAAGGTAATGCGCTGCTCACTGAGGCTGAGACCCGCTCTATTCTGGACGAATTCCCCCACAGCCCAGCTCGGTTAGGTTCTGGTCCTATTCGGGGACACAGGGACACTTCCCCCACACTGAATGAAGACACCATGAGGAGCCAGTCCAGCAGAAAGTCAACAAAATAGCACCCAGTGATCCTTGTCGGAACCAAGTAGAACCACAAAGGTCCAGATGAAAAGCTTGGTTGGGGTCCAGAGAAAAGTAAAACACCAGACCTACGTACGACGACTCCCCCTCTTGAGGGATTACCTGGCTGGCAGGCTGCGCTCAGAGTGACCGGTGGGGTGGGAGCAGCCGATCCTGGACCAAAATAATTTTTTGGATGGTCCCGTCCGGCTCTCTGAGTCACTGAACACCGAATTCGGTTGGAAGGGGGACAAACTTTAGTCCGGCTCGAAAAACGGGTAAGTTGGATGTTAAAAGACTGCAGAGAAGCCGAGGGAGCTACCATCCATCAGCTTACCAGAACCGGAAGTTGACCTACTTTACTTACCTGCTTGGCTTGTTTATGTATATGAATGTTTTTGTTCAGTGCCCTGAGACGACTGCTGTTGTGGCTTGGCCCTATATAAATAAATTAAAGATAAAGATTTACAACAGATCATCAAGAACATGTCTAACTCCATTTCATTTATTCAAAGTCAAACCATGCTAAATGACTAAAACAGGAAATGTCTCAATGTCCTGTGTATAATAATCAGTTTGTTACTGGTGAATGAGGCTGTAAGATTTTGTATCTACTGACTCAGAAATGCTCTCTAACTGCAGCCTTGTTGATGTTTATGTTGTTTACAGCCCAGATGGATATTTGTATGAAAAGCAGGCCATCCTTGAATATATTCTTCACCAGAAGAGAGAAATAGCTAAAAAGATGAAGGTAAGCCTCATTTTCTGTCTGATTTAGATTGTGTATTGACTAAACAACATTTACTGAAGTAAATTTGAAATCTAACCTCTTTGCACATGCTGGTTGATTTAGCAGTGATCAGAACCACCAGGTAAAACAGAGGACAGACAGTCTGAGATCAGATATGGATATTTACTGATACTTACTGACATTTACTGATGTTTACTGGTGTTTACTGAGGTTTGCTGGTATTTATTGACATTTACTGGTATTTATTGACGTTTACTGGTGTTTACTGACATTTGCTAGTTTTTACTGAAGTCTGCTAGTTTTTACTGCTATTTTCTGACATTTACTGGTATTTGACATTTACTGGTATTTACTGGTGTTTACTGACGTTTACTGGTGTTTACTTTCATTTGTTGGTGTTTACTGAAGTTTGCCAGTTTTACTGGCATTGCCATTTTTTCAATAGTGTTTACTGTTTTTTTTTTTTTCATTCAATCTTTATACAGGTTAAGCCCATTGAGCCTTGGGGACTTGTTTATATGAGAGACCTGATTTAACAAAGATTGATGACAACAGTAGACAACAAAAACAAGAATAGACAATCATAAAGGATGTGTCCAAATTGGGCTTTTTTTATAAAATGGTTTTTAAAAGAAAAGGTAACATAAAAAAAATAACAGCTAGGTTGTAAGGCGGTGTAGAAAACTAAAAACAAGAACATGTCTGCATTGGTTCTTGCAGAAACTTAGCAGATGTTTCTTAAAGTCACTTAGAGAGGTCAAAGGTCGAGAGCTTCAGATCTTTTTACAAGATATTCCAGGAAACAGGAGCGGAGGAGGAGAAGGTCCTTTTGTCTAGTTCAGTCCTCATTGAGGGAACACTGCAGGTAATAATGTCCAGAGAGCGCACGCTGTAGCTGCACTCACGCAGAGACAAGTAGGAGGAGATGTATGAAGGCAGCAGACCAAGAAGTATTTAAAGATGAAAATGTACCAGTGGGAGAGTCTGCGTGAAGTTAATGATGTCCAGTTAACCAGTGAATACTGGGTGCAGTGGTGGTTATGGTAGTTACAGCCAGTTATGAATCTTACTGCACCATGATAGCATCCAATGTCCAACTTGTAGAAGGTTCTTGTAGGAGCGTTCATGTAAATAATATCACCGTAGTCAGTCGTGGGAAGGAAATTCACGGTCACAAGGTGTTTCCTAGCATTCAGAGTTCGACAGGATCTATTTCTGAAAAAGAAACCCAATTTAACTTTCAGTTTCCTTACTAAGTTTTCTATGTGGAGCATAAAAGAGGGATGCGAATGGACCAAAATACCCAAATATTTCTAGGAATCGACAAACTCAATAGGGGTGCCATGATAAAATCAAAGGAAGAATTGCTGGGACTGACTTCCTGTTTGATAAAAGCATCCCTTTGGTTTGTCGGCGTTTAGGACAAGTTTAAGACAGAACAAATCAGACTTGATGATGTCGAAAGTGGATTGCAAACGTTGGAAAGCCTTATCAACTGTTTTAGTTCGACAATAAACAGCTGTATCATCTGCGTAGTTTGTAATTGTGTGATCTGAGGAACCGATTTCTGAGAGTTTATGACACAAGATGTTCTGATCCACAGTGTCAGAATCTTTAGACAGATCTAAGAAAAGTGCAGCACAATAATCCTTAGCATCCAGTGCTTCAACAACATCATTAAGAACCTTCAGTGAAGCAGTGGTTGTGCTGTGTTGTTTCCTGAAACCAGATTGAAGGCGAGGTAAGATGTTAAATGAGTCCAGGTAATTTTTGATTTGAGAGTTTATCAGTTTTTCTAGAACCTTGGCTAAAATGCAGAGTTTAGAGATTGGTCCATAGTTGTTCAGTGAGGTGGGGTCACCTCCCTTCAGCAAAGGAAGAACAAAGGCTGTTTTCAAGTGTCTGGGATGGAGTTTTGTCTCATGGAGAGATTGAAGATGTGGGTCACAGGGACTGTGATGATATGAGCAGCCAGCCTTAAGAAATAAGGTGGAAGTTCATCTGGACCTGCAGATTTTTTAGGGTCAAGATCTTTTAACAGTTTATTGACCTCACTGACTGAGAATGGAGAAAAAGAGAAGCTGTGATTAACTGAAGATTGACTTGTAGGAGGGATTTGATTTGTAGAAGTTTGGTTATTAAGTGAAGTGGCTGATCTTCCATTAGTAACTGTGTCAAATAAAGAACCAGAAGCAACAAAATGTTTGTTGAAACAGTTCAGGATCTCGTGCTTATTTGACACAGGAACAGAGTTAACGAGAAGTTGTGATGGGAGGTCAGATGAATGAGAGCTGCCAGAGGGAGATTTGATGGTTTTCCAGAATCTTTTTGGATCATTTACATTTTTGGAGGTCTGAGATAAGAAATAGTTACGTTTGGTGGCTTTGATGGAAGTTGTGCATTTATTCCTCTGCTGTCTAAAATTCAACCAATCAGTGTCTGAACCAGATTTTCTCGCTGTGGCCCATAGCTGGTCTCACCTGTGCAGAAGGTCAGCTAGTTCAGGAGTAAACCAGAGGTCGTCTTGTCCTTTTATTCTGAACTGGTGAAAAGGAGCATGTTTACCTGCACCCCCTGATGGTCCTTAAGTGTGTGCAGAGCTGAGGCAGTGGTTTTTTTTAATTGTAGGGTTTTTGGAGGAAAAAAATGGGCGGGAGGGTGTCTTTGCCAAATTCAGATGTTCTATATTCTGTCATACTACAGGCTTATGAGACACAGAAAAAAGCTCTAAAAAACAATAATCAGCTGGAGTCCAAATCTGAGGAACGACAGAAGGCAGAGAGGTTTAAAACCAGTGAGAACAACATTGTGTCTAAACCCATCAACCCCTTTGCATCAGGTGCGTGGCACACATCGTCCCGTCCTCAGGCTCACACATTTTACATTGATAAGAGTTGTCAGTTAAAGAGTTTGTTGCAGGAATAAAGATCGTGAACCTGTCTTTCTTCAGGGCAGAACAAAGACAACGAGGTGGGCGGGTCGCAGAACAGCTCTGGTGAGTCCTCCACAGCTGCTGCAGCTACCAGCTCCAGCCAGAGTCTGCCCAGTTTCTGGGTCCCGTCTCTGACACCTGAAGCCAAGCCCACACTTCTGAAGAAACCAGTGAGTGTTCCTCTGACTGAAAATGTCTGCTGATTGTTGGAGAGGGGGAGAGATATGTAGATATACTTAAATAAGTAGGTCTGTACACCTTGTTAACAGGTGTGCAATCAAAGTAATGAGTGTGTGTCGACCTCGATCAAAGGAATAATGATTCTTTGTTGTGATCCCCCTCACTTGAATTTAAAAAACAACAGAAAATCCAGTCAGTTAAAATCACAATTCTGTAACATTTATTTCACGTTTGTGAACAATAAACAACTGTGTGGAATTATGGTAAGTATGGATTATGTGTGCTTAAACAAATAGCATTATTTCAGAAAGTGGATGATGTAAGATAGCTTAAAACATTGAGAAGAGATGTTATTCAAATTTAGGATTAATGTTAAAATTTAGGTAAACTTTATCTTAGATTCGTAAAGTAAACTGACATGTATAGAAACTTAGTTGGCACTGGGATAGGGCTGGGTATCGTTTAAAAAATTTTTTTGGTACCGGTACCTTCACTTCAATATCGGTTCCTGGACAGTTCTTTTGTCGGTACCAATTTTATAATTAATGTTAATTCTAACAATAAGAAAATTACGTTACACATTACAGTGCAAATCTTGAGTTTTATTTTTTAACTTTGGTATTTTTCTATTCCAAGCAGTTTTCTTACATAAAAATAAATAATTTCCAGGTCAAAAGACCAGTTACAAACCAGTGACACGTCAGTGTCTAATGGTCACTGCTACACACTGAGGATCTTTTAACTGAACAGGTTTTATTCAGAAACATCAACATGTCTTCTTTCTCTGGACACAAACAAGCTGCTCCTGGCTGATGGTGTCTCCAGCAGTAGAACATGTTCACTCTGAGGCTGTAGATGATGATTGTTGCACACACAGATACCTGGTTGTCAGTTTGACATATTGTCCCTCACATCCCACCAGCAGGTCACTGGATTGACTGAGGTTAGAGATGATGCAGACTTCTGCACCTCTGTGTCTCTTCTTGAATCTTCTCTGTGGATCTCTGGGGTTTAGGGCTCTGATCATCTCCCTAATTGACATGAGAACAAAACATCAACAATAACATGGTTGTGTTATTATTGCTCAAACATTATTTAGGCTGAGAAATAACGGTTTAACTGGTCAACAACATCCTTTACAGTTCACTTACCTCCACCATGCAGCTCCACTGTAGAAAAAGGCAGCAAACTTTTAACAAAAAAGTTTGTGACTGTCCTGTGGCCCTCATCTCACTTTTCTTTTGTCCTTTTGTCCTTCTCACATCAGGGTCAGAGGCTCCTGTGAGGAGAACAGTAACAAACAGTGAACATTACGTGAACTGTTTAAGCAGCTGACCTGATGGATGAGCACATTTTTACAAGCTAAACTTTATCTGTTACTGTAAATCTTTAGTTAGCTTTTGATTTTAGCTAGCTACATAGAAAGCCATAAAATAAAGTTGCATGCTAATATCTTAAAGTTATGGTTACATGCATCTTAGTTTAACTCACCTTGATGCATGTATTAAGCTGCAGTAACATTAACAAACGTGAACTTACCAGCTGAAATCCCAGACACAGCGCGGTCCTTGGAGTCGGAGAGATTTATTTGTCATACACACCACACGTGATACATGAGGTGGGACAAAACTATGAGCATAGGGTCCCACTTACATAAAAACAAACAACACAAATTGTAAAGGAAAACATTAGTAAAATCCGAGTCATGAACTATGAATATACTACATCCACTTAACTAAGAATACACTAAGCACTAATAGTAAAAAAGAAATGTGCCAAAACAACAGCAGCACGAACATGACTTTGTATGAGCAGATGAGGATTAATGAACACAGCAGCATAAAATAATCAGCAGCATGAGATCTGCATCATGGATAGTCAGCAGCACATATCAACAACGAAGTGTCATTACAGCGATTTTCTTGATCAGGCTGGTGGTGTTGTTGCCCCAGCTGTGGTTATCAAACAGGTGCACACCCAAGTACTTGTAGCTGAAAACCACTTCCACCACAGATCCTCCTATGATGGGAGAGTGGTGGCGCAAGAGGTTAGAAGATGGGCCTGTGATTGTAAAGTCGCAGGTTCAACTCCCGGTACCGTCAACATCAAAATGTGGGTGGAAAAGGTGAAACACCCACACCTACCTCCTCCCTCATTTGCACCACTCTGGGCCCCTTTGCAAGGCCCTTAACCCCCACCATCTGCTCCTAAACAGGTCTCTCTTGAAAATGAGTTCTCGTGGCTCAGTGAGACTACCTGTATAAATAAAGGGTAAATGAAAAAAAAAAGTTCAACAAGGGGTAGGTGTGTTTATTCCTTCTGAAGTCCACAACCATCTCCTTCATCTTCACATTGATGTGAAGGTTGTTCTTTCTGCACCAGCTCTCCAGGTGTTCCACCTCCTGCCTGTAGCTGGACTCATTGTTTTTTATGCATCCAACTACCGCTGTATCATCTGCAAACTTTACACTATGACAGCCTGGATGGGTCAGTACGCAGTCATATGTTAGCAGATGATACAGCGGTAGTTGGATGCATAAAAAACAATGAGTCCAG